AACTCATAGCTGATCATCCAGTGGGTTTTTGGAGACAACGAATCACATGGGAGTTGATTGCCCATCTTTCTTTCTTGCATCAGCTGGCAAATTCAGACTACATACCTTTGCGTTGGCAGTGAAATTCCTTACCACTAGACCACCAGAGCTCTCTTATATTACCTCTTGTTGTTACTGTTGTTGTTATGACTCAACAAATATGACAGCTATTAGGTGTCTTCAAATCACTGAAAAACTCATAGGGACCATATGAACAACCCACCTGAACTCTGCCCTATCCTGTGTCATCCTCATTATCTTTGACACACTTGAGTCCACTGATGCAGTCACTGTGCCAATTCATTTCCTTGAAGAGCTTCCACTCCTTTGCTGACCTTCTATCTTTTCAGGTATGATGTCCCTTCCCCAAAAAATAGCCTTAGCTAAGCTACATGTCCAAAAATATGAAAGATGGTGCTTCTAACAGTGTTTATACACACACACACACACACACACACACACACACACACACACACACACGTATATAGGCCCTCAAAAGTTGCAAATCTAAAAAGATTCCCCACCCCCCAATCAAAAATCCACTCTTTTAAAGTTTGTCCTCTCTTTTTTTAATTTTACTGACCTATGGAGGCCTGGTACTATGAATAAAGAGAAAATAAAATGTCAGACATTTTTCTTAAAAATGTCTTAATTACAATTTAAAAGTAAGCCATTATGGCTTATTGTTGTTATGTACTATAAAGTCAGAACCAACCCACAGCTGAATCTTGGGGTAGGTTTTCAGATTTAATCGCATGGGAGGACATTGCACATCTTTCTCCCAAAGAGCAGCTGATGGATTTGAACCACATGTCTTTGGGATTTCAGTTCGCCATCTTGCCACTAGACTGCCAGTGCTTCCTTATGTCTTTTTAACATTTTTAAAATTAAGCCATTATTTATTTTTTGCCAGTGGCTTTGTAAGAGCCATGTGAACTTTAGTCAGTGATACTTTTAAGAATTTCCTTTTATGAAGAGTTTTCATCTGTCTTTAAGTTAGTTAGAAGAGAGGCCATATCAAATATTTTATGATTTTTTTGTGGATGTATTTATTTGAGGAAATGAAAATATGAAACGGTTTTCTTTTTGTAAATTATTTTTTCACTTTATTTTCACAACCACTGTATAAAGCAAATCACTGCAACATAATTATTATTCCCTTTTAAAAAGAGAGCTCTACTGTCTTAGCTCTAGTGGCTAAATCAAAGGACACGACTTTGGGGGGTTTGAATCCACCAGTAACTCTGAGGGGAAATGATGGACAATCTCTTCCTTCATGATTTACAGCCTCCTAAAAACCTGCTAAAGAATCAGCTACAAGTCATCACTGATACTAGAGCAGTGAATTTTTAATATTTATATACATGAACCAACATCTTGAACTTTTAAGATGCTTCTTTCTGTAATACATTCCCATCCTCTTTTTAAAAAAAAAAATTAAAGTATGGGAGTGGGTTTTTAATCTTTATTTATATACAAAGTAAATTGAGAAAGCACGGGTCTCAGTCTGAGATGAAAAGGATAAAACAATGCATTTTATTGTTGTTGTTATGTGCCATCGAGTCGTTTCCGACTCATAGCGACCCTATGCACAACAGCCCTAAACCCTGCTCTATCCTGCGCCAGCCTCACCGCCTCTGACACACCCATCCCGATTACCCCAGTCACCGAATCAATCCATCTCATAGAGGGTCTTCCCCTCCTGCGCTGTCCCTCCACCCTCCCAAGCATGATGTCCCTCTCCAAGGACCCGTCCCTCCTGGCAACATGTCCAAAGTATGTCAGACGAAGCCCCAGAATCCTTGCCTCCAAGGAGCAGCTTGGTTTAATCCTCTCCAAGATGGATCTGTTTGTTTTCCTGGCAGTCCAGGGTACATTCAGTACCCTTCTCCAGCACCACAGCTCAAAAGCATCCACTCTCCTTCTTGTCCTCCCTAGTCATTGTCCAACTCTCTGATTCATAACAAACGATTGCAAATACCATGACCTATATCAGGCGCACCTTAGTCTCCAGAGAGACACTGTTGCTCCTGAGTACGTTTGAGAGGTCCCTAACGGCAGACTTTCCCATCGCGATACGCTTTTTGATTTCCTGACTGCTGGTACCAAGAGTGTTAACTGTGGAGCCGAGCAAAGTGAAGCTGTGAACACTCTCAATCTCTTCATCATCCATCCTGACGCTGCCAATTGGTCCAGTGGCGAGAATCTTTGTCTTCTTGATGTTGAGCCTTAGTCCATACTGAAGGCTGCAGTCCTTGACCCTTCGCAGCAAGTGCATGAGGTCCTCCTCAGTTTCAGCAAGCAAGGTTGTGTCATCTGCATAACGGAGATTGTTGATAGATCTTCCACCAATCCTGATGCCACAATTCTCCTCATAGAGCACAGCCTCTCGAATAATCTGCTCTGCATACATGTTGAAAAGGTATGGAGACAGGATGCATCCCTGGCGTACACCCTTCCCTATTTTGAACCATGCAGTGTTACCCTGCTCTGTTCTGACTACTGCCTCTTGGTCCAAGTATAGGTTTCGTATTAGCACAATTAAGTGTTCTGGGGTTCCCATTCTTCTCAGAGTCAGCCACAGTTTGTTATGATCCACACAGTCAAATGCCTTTGGATAATCAATGAAACACAGATAGACATTCTTCTGGTATTCCCTGCTTTCAGCCAAGATCCATCTAACATCAGCAACGATATCCCTAGTACCACGACCCCTTCTAAACCCAGCCTGGACTTCCGGCAGTTCTCTGCTGATGTGCTGTTCTAATCGTTTTTGGATGATCTTCAGCAGAATCTTGCTTGCATGTGAAATCAATGACACTGTTCTGTAGTTTCCACACTCAGTTGGGTCACCTTTCTTTGTAATGGGAACAAATATAGATCTCCTCCAGTCAGTTGGCCAAGTAGTTGTTCTGCAGATAATATTTCAAATACATACTCAACTTGGGAAATAGTTGGGAAAGGAAATAGGTGGGAAAACAAAGAGAGTTAACAGTTCAGGAAATAAGTTCACAAATGCAGAGGATTGACACATATATTTTGCTAAAATTGAGGATCTGCACAAGAAATTCCCACACAGTTTAACTTGTTTCACCTGTGCTGTTCTCGGGAAGACACGAATAAAAAAGACAAAATTTCAAAGTCATATTATACATAGGAAAAAGGCAAGCCATTGCAATTTTAAAGTTCATCCTAAGAATGTAGGCAAGTAATTATTTGTATACTAAAGTGAACTCAAGTGTGTCAGAAATTGTGAGGATAGCACAGGATAAGACAGAGATAGGTTGTTCATAAAGTTGTCATGAGTCCTTCTTGACTCAATGACACCTAACCTCAAAATAGGCTAAAATAGTTAAAACAAGGAAGTCATTGAGAGATTGTTTTAATAGCTGCTCATAATCCTACCCAAAATAATTATTGAAACTCCTAATAATAGCCTTTTATTTTTTGTTCTAAAGCTTGTGTTTTCTCTTCTCATTTAAATTATTCCACTATGAAATGATCGATATGCAAACTAAGCTTTTTAGTAAGACTCACTTACCAAAGAGAAAAAACAGTCATTCTGTAGCTAATGTGCATTAATTTTTCAGAAGTAAACATAGAATTTTTTTATTGAGTAACTGAACTGCTTTCTGTTGTTGTTGGCCTAGTGGACTGAAAGTTATGCTACCAAGCTGAAGGTGGGTGATTTTAATCTACAGCCCTCAGGCCTGGTTTAAATTGTTTTTCTGTCAAACATTCTTCTTGATGGTATTGCACTGGTCTATACATTGCTGTACAGAGGTAACTCATGGTTGCTGTGATGCTAAACACTGTGACACTGATGTGCCAAATGTGATAATGGTTACCTATGGTGGACAATGTTTGGTGAAACTTCCCAATTACAAAAAGCTTGGAAGCAGGAGTGGCATCCACTTCTGAAATAGCTCACCTCCAGAAACTCTGTGATCAAAGCTCAGACCTTTCATTCATAGGGTCGCTATGACTCTATGACTCTACAGCACCTAACAACAACAACAAACTGTTTTCTATTTTGTTGTTTTAGCTAACATCTTAAGCAAAACACTTGTCAAAAAAAGAGGAGGGCTTGGATTAGCATGATATAGAATCAAAGATATCAGATAATTCATTAACCAAAGTGTATTGTGAAAAATTTGTCTTCTAAATAATTAATGCAGAAATATTAACATATTTAGTAATATATAATACACATCATATATGTATGTGTGTGTATATATGTATATATATTGTACTTAATAGGAATATTGTTAAAGACTATAAAACCAGCAAATTTTTTATAAATTTATTCTCAAGTGATTGAATATTCATGGCATCTTTTGTTACTAAATTAGCAACACTACTTCTAGTGTCCTTCAGGAAAAAAAAATTCTTGTCTTAAAGAAATCAAGAATTACATATTTGAAGACTGCGTTTTCATAGCCAGACTTGTTGGAAATCAAAAAAGGTGCTTTTGCATTTCTTTTGTTATTTTCAGAGAAACTGGGTTTTGGGAATATTGTCCAGTAGAAATCCTACAAAATAATGCCTTTAAGTGAAAAAAAAAAATCAGAATATCATGTTTGAAAAGCATAAATTTACAGAGTATTTGGAATTAGAGACTATATTACAATTTCCTGTTATTAAATCATTGAAAAACTGTAATGGATAAAGTAATGTAGAAAATACTGAGGTGCAATAAAAATTTCATTTCAAGCAAATAATCTCTCCTTAACAAAATTAACAATTGAAACTACAGGAGGCTATGTTGGTAAAATATTGTCTTTCCCTTTTAGAAATTTGTAGATAAACCATAAACTACTTTTTAATAGACAGGAACTATTATATTGTTGCCTATGATATTTGATTAAACTAGTTTGGGAAGCTCAAGTAAATGACAGATGGGTATCAATATAACAGGGTATAATGGAAGAATACATATAATCTAAATATTTTCTATTTAGGGACAACACTTCAAGGCCAAGTAGAAAGAAATAAAAACTGGTGTGATCTTGGTGAAAAACAAGAAACAAGAGGTGAACTCAAAGGAGAAGCTCTAAAAGAAGATGAAAAGGCACAGGTGGAAGAGGAAGACCCATACACTTTTGCTGAGATAGATGACAATGAATATGACACAATACTAGCCAATATGAGTGTAAAGAAAAAACTTGGAAGCCGGTCTTTCATCATAAATCGACCTCCTGCCCCTACTCCTCGACCTATATCTGTCCCTCCTAAAGAGGATACTCAACCCTACATAGCACAAGGTAAGGCTGTTGTTGTTGTTGCTTGTTTGGTTGGGGCATGGGGAGGGTTGGTGTGTTAGGGAGGAATTACATGTTTTGAAATATTTGGTTGGGTATGAAGGTCTTTGATTAGTGATTGGATTTAAAAAGCTGGGGGTAAGTACAAAACATACATTTTAAATTATAGGTATATTGTTTAGACTTATAGACTTATTTTTTTAAATAAATTTTTTATTTTATACTGATTTAATTACAAAGTTTTCATACATTGTACTTAATTTTTTAATCTAATTTTAATGAACATTTATATAGATTATGGATTTCCACTCATTCATTGTTGCATTTTTCTCCCTGCCCACCCCTCCCCCCAGTTCACTCCTCTCTTTGAAAAGTAGTAGAAAAATTCCTTCATTGATATACAATGTCCCCCCACAGCCCCTGTCCTGAGTACACTCCACTATGCAACCTTCATTCTGAACTCCTGTCATAACGATAATCCCCAATCATATATTGCTATCAAACTATTCTCTCCCTCATCTGTTTCAATGCAGTACATAATTTATGCAATTTTTCTCAGGCTCACCCCAACCCTGATGTCAGTCCCATTCTACAACAGTGGCACTATGCAATATTTCCTTTTGTGACTGAGATATTTCACTCAGCATAATGTCCTCCAGGGTCACACATTTTGAATAATATGTACTTACATTTTTAAGTTTAGACACACTGCACTTTTTAAAAAAGTTTAGACACACGATGTAAAAAGAAAACAAAAATGAGCTGGATTGTAATTTTCCAATATTTCTTTAACAAGGAAAGTTTTGACAACCATAAAAGACACTTTAAACTGCACTAAATAAATATAAATTCTATTTGTCACATCTCTACAATTCTGTAAAAAGGAAGAAAAAAAAAAACAAAAACAAAACAACCCTATGCACAAAACACCCAAAACGCACCAAAAATCTGCACCACAAGAAGTAGATTATAGAATATAACCACTCTAGTTTTCTGTTAAATTTGATTTATGACAACTTTTTAAGACAAAATTCTTAAGATGTTTGGATACTAAAACAGACAAATTCTAGTGCAAAAAAATGTATTCCAATCCATCTGAAATCTCACTTTACTCCAACAGTTATTATGCATTTTCTCTGGTTTAGATAGTCCAATTTATGTTAGTCTTCACCTCTTTTCCTTCTCTGCTCAGCTGTATGTAAAAAAGTAAATCCATGGAGCTTCTTTTTTAACATTTAAAATCTCAGCAGGATTAATTACATCTCCTATTTAATGAAAATGTTATAGATACTGATTTGATTTGGTGAATACTTGTTACATTTTAAATATGTAATCATTTTCAGGAATTATTTCATATTTAAAACTAAAGCACCTGAAACCTCTAATTTGTAAGATAATGAGTAGATAACCAGTTTTTTTTTCACTGAGTTGCTCCAAACTTTCGGTTTATGTAGACATATGGTCACTCTATGTAAGAATAGACTTGATAGCAGCGAACAACACCATCCAATACTTTCAGTTTTTCAAAAGTAAACCCCAACTACTCCAGTCTGCATTTATGTATCTGGCTGTCAGCACAGAGAGAGAAATGTGGAAAGATTAAGAAATGTCATGATTTCAAACATCCAGTCTAGTCTGCATTTATGTATCTGGCTGTCAGCACAGAGAGAGAAATGTAGAAAGATTAAGAAATGTCATTATTTCAAACACCTGATTTTACTTATTTTCCATGTTTTCAGTTCATTCTAAAAGTTCTAATATCTACTATGTCTTGTTTTCCATTGTCATAGTTGTTTGTATTCAATTTCTCTGAAGTATAAATATCCTATCATAAATGGTTGCCTCATTAAACAGAATTGGAGAAAAATTGGGAAATTTTAACTAATCTTGATAGTAGATAAGTGAATTGAATTTTTTCTTCTTTATTAATTATGCAAAGATTTATAGAATTCTAATGATAAAGTCTTCTTATGTACAAATTATATGATTCCCTATTTGAAATTGATACATAATTTGCTATAGGAACATCTACATGCTTAGGCACTTTAGATAACTAAGTGACTAGATTTCAAGTTTCTAAGAAATTATAACAATTCATTTTAATCACCTCTCCATCTCAAGAGATTTCAAGGCAAGTCCACAAGAAGGTGTTCCTAACCTAAAGGTGGTGACTCTCTGGTAGTTCTAGTCAACCAATATCTCCAATGGAGGAAGATGGACAAATTCCTCCTGTTCATTTTACGTCTTGCTTTTGCTCTTAGATCCATTGAACAGACTTTCACTCAGCCTGTTGTTACACTCACTGTCAATCCGTCTTCTTTTTTTATAATTTTTTTGCATTTTTTCTACTAGTTTATTTACCAAACTCAATTACAAATTTGAACAAATTCTTTCCATTTCCCTCACCCTCCCATCAAATTGTACCACCCAGTGATTAACCCCACTCTCCCTCTGCACATCCAAATCTCTCTACTTCCACCCTACTTACAACCCCTCCTCCCCCCACCCCCCGGATCCTTGTACTCATTCTACAATAACAGTTTTAAACAACATTTATCCTTGTGGGACTGAGTTAGTTCACTCAGCATAATGCTCTCCAGTCAAGTTAGGTAATAATTTACAAAGTTATTGCTCCTGCATGCTGAATAGTATTCCATTGAGTGAATGAATTTCTCAATCCATTCTTTTGTGATTAGACATTTGGGCTGTTTCCTTGTTCTTGTGTTGGTGAATAATGCTGCTATGAAGACTGGTGTACAAATCTCCATTTGTGCCTCAGTTCTAATACTCTCAGTGTATATGCCAAGTAGTGAATTAACTGGTTCATATGGAATTTGTATGTTCAGTTTTTTGAGGAAGGGCCAAACTACTTTCCAGAATGGTTGCACCATTTTACAATCCCACCAAAAATGTGTAAGAGTCCCTTTCTTGCCACATCCTCTCCAAAATTTATTGCTTTCTGCCCTGCTAAATAAACTTTGCCACTGTTACTGGGATGAAATGGTACCTCATTGTAGTTTTAATTTGCATCTCTCTTATTGCCTGTGATTTGGAGCATTCCTTCAGTGTTTGTTTGCCATTCAATATCTTCCTCTGTGAAAATTCTTTCCATGTCTTTTGCCCATTTTGTAATTGGGTTATCCATATTTTTCTTGTGGAGGCCCAGGAATATTTTATAAATGTCTCAACCCATCTTCTCGAGGGTTCTCCTCTTTTCCTTTGGCCCTTTTCCCAGCATGACTTTTCCAAAAGTCTGGCCCATGCTCTGACAACATGCTCAAGTATGTGAAACAGAGTTTCATTACCTTTGCCTATAAGGAGTCCCTAGGAAAACAAACAGGTTCAGCCTGGGGACTGTGAAACCAGGCTGCTCCTTGGAGGCAAGGATTCTGAAGCTTTGTCTGACATACTTTGGACATGTTGCAAGGAGGGACTAGTCCTTGGAGAGGAATGTCATGCTTGGGAGGGTGGAAAGATAGTGCAGGAGAGGAAGCCCTTCGATGAGATGGATTGATTCAGTCACTGGAGTATGGGATAAGTGTGTAAGAGACAATAACATTGGGAAGGAATAGAGCAGGGGTTAGAGCTGTTGTACATAGGGTTGCTATGAGTTCCAGGTGACTTGATGGCACATAACAACAACTTCCTTCAAGAAAGACTTGTTTATTCTATTGACACTCCATGGGACTTCTCTTCTCCAGCAATAGAATTCAAAGATATTGTCTCTTCCTCCTCTGGCATTCTTATCCATTGTCCAACTTTCAGATGTGTAGGAAACAATAGGAAATAAAAACATGACTTGGATCTTGTACACATATCTGACATCCTTTCTTTTTAGCAGTTTACAAAGTTTCTTGACAGCAGATTTTCCTGTGCATGGTGTCTTGATTTCTTGACAGTTGTTACCGTGGGTGGTGTTGATTGTGGCCTCCAAAAACCTGCTGAAGAGTAAGCCATCATTCAGTTCTACCTCTGTAGCAATGAGTTTTTAGTTTGATCCATCTCAAATCTGACATACTTTCACACCTATATCTTTCTAATTTAATTACGCTATATAATGTTTCTCACAGTAGCTGTATACAGAGAGATCTAATCTATAATTTGCATGTAAAACCAGGTTTTTGTTGTTGTTGTTGTTGTTGTTCCCCCCTAAGCCCTTAATCATTAGCAAGAGCAAAAACATAATGAAATCACGGAGTTAGCTTCCATTGTTTCTTTCTTTTCTTTCACTGGGATGTGCTTTCCTGCCTGTTCATTTTACGCCGTTGACTGCTGATTCTTCCATTCCCACAATGGCATAAAGATTTCCTTATCAGCTAACTCTTTCCTGATGTTCTTTGTATTTTATAGGGTGAAAGTCTTTCATCACATCATTTAATTTTTTTTCTAACTCTGGAAGATCTATTAAGTAGATTTGCCACGATTTCCCAGCAAGCCACTCATTCAATTACAAGAACATTAATTTGCTCTGATTCTTGCCAGAGAACAGAAGTGGTAGCAAAATGATAGCACATCAGAGTTTGTTATTGTAGCCAAAAGTAAAAGCTGTGGAGCAGGAAAGAAAGGAAAGATGTAGAATTCTAACTTATTTAAGAAACTCAGGAAATAGCCAGCCAAGAAACCAGACAAAGGAAAGTTAGGAAGGTATAGAAAAGACATTTTGGTTTTGCAAAAAATGTCTGCACTTTGATCCAGTCTAGTCCCCTTAGCAGTTGACTTAATATACCTGAAATGTAATTTCCTCATTGTAACTTGGGGAAACAAATAACATCTACTTGAAGGATTGTCACAAACTCATATCTTCACTAAATTATAGCTAAAAGTAATTCTATTTTCTTTGTTCAGTTTCCAAACAGATAATTAGTTTGATAAACTAACTTTAAATTGTAGAATAAAATTCTCTAGATGAATGATATTTGACTCACAGAGTTCTATAGTTTGTGGTAAGTGGTCTGTCAAAAGCTGCACAAGAAAAGGAGAGCGTCTCAGGAGGGCTGTTAAAA